CTTGGTCTTACTGCTTCTTTATCCCTGTCGCCTCATTGTCACCGCCCGTCACCCTGTCTCTTTTGGCCGAGATGTTTTTGTTTTGGTTAATTTCCTTGTTCCTAAGCCCCTCTTTGGAATGGTGGAGTTGCTCTTGGAGAAGAGAGAACAAACGAAACAACATGGTTAGATGAAAGGTCTCTGACCCTTGATCACCATAGAATTGGTTTCAGTCATCATTGTTTGATCTTGGATTGGACACGACCCTGAAGTGAAATTGCTTTGGCCAAAGTTGGGGGTGGGTGAGAGTGAAGCCTTGAAAAGCAAATAGCACAGAGGACGGTTGTAACAGCTGGCACTGCCACCGAGGCAATCATCTTTGCCCTGACTTAAGTCAAACAGAATAAAATGGTAAATCTCCCAGGGAACAAGAAATGGGAACTAGGAATAGGATTTCTGATCCTTAGATTGATGCCCACCCCCTCAGACCCCTCTTCACAGTAGCAGAAACTTTAAAATAGATTTTCCCATCTCCACCCTGCCAGTATTCCAGCAAAGCAAGCCAAATCCAATATTCAGCATGCAAATGCCAAGGTTTCTCTAGAAAAGGAGTCTGATCCCCAGATTAAAGGGAAATAATTTGGTGTGTGTGCATCAATGGGCTCCAGATTATATATGAAGCCAAACTCTAATCCTCTGCAAATCGCAAGAGAATGGTACCTTTTTATATCCTTGCATAGCGATTAGTTTCCTCCCTGGGAAGTAGTGGAAACATTCCTCCCCCCCCCCTTTTTTTTAAAAAGGCAACTGTTCAGAATATTTTCAGTACCAAATAACACTGGTGGCAGAAATCTTATTTTAATTAGGCAACTGCCATTTCCCCTGCTAGAGCACTAGAAATTTGTTACTTTTTATAAGTGTTTAATGTTTGTTTTTAGGAAACTAAAAAAGCAATTCCAATAAGTCTGAATATTCCAGCACTGACAGCAGGAACAGCTCTGAGGCAGTTATAATAACCTTGCACACTACTTGAAACTAAAGAAGGTGAGAGAAAATTTAAATTGTATGGTAGGAAATTAGGTCAGCCCTGGGCTCAGTAGAGTAATGCTTTAATTTCTTATTATTGGCAAGTAGGTGTTACCGGGGTCTTTTGTCACATCCAGTGATTTTATATTTCCATTTGCATCAGGTTTCTATCACAGCGTCAAATAAAAGGGAAAAGAGAGATTATTGTGGTTTGTGCAAATAAGAGAAGGAGGGGAAATCATAGTTTGAAGACTGTTCAGAGAGGGATGTCTGATGCCAGGCTTTGGAACCAGCAGGACTGAAATCAATTACATTTTTTAAAAGATTTAAAGAGTATTTTAAGGATTATTTATGAAATTGGTCAGTGTGTCAAGGGTATATCAAGAATTGTGATCTGTGTTGAGCATAATTGTTCTCAAGAAGTCTGAACAAATATGTACCCATTAGTGTTTGAACAGGTTTGAGTATTTCCTTTATTGATTGGCCATGCTTTGTAGGGAGTCTGTTTCCGATGTGGGAAGTGAGGTGCAGAAAGGAGACAATCACCAAAAACAGTACCACTCACTCTTCTTCAACCCCACCTCCACAACACAGCGTATTTTTCTGTACTGTCCCTATATTCCAGGTGAATGTGAACTTTTCTTCTCATGGAATTACTGGGTATTCTGTGCTGCTTTTGCAGAGTAAGAACTACAGCCATGAAATTTCTATTGATCACAGACAAAAAATTAGTTTGTCCTGGAAGGTAGGCTATTGATAAGGGTTAGGCAAATTTGTGTTTACCATTTCAGCCAGTCCAAATTCTTCATCACTTCTCCCTGTTTGGGGAGGCTCTGTGTGTGTGTGTGTGTGTGTGTGTGTGTGTGTGTTTAAATATGTCCCAAGAGGGCTTTGGATTCACTCACTACAGGTAGAAAATACCCACATTCAGTGATGTGAATAACCAGAAGGCTGGCGGTTCACCATCCACTCCTCGGAAGGAAGATGGGGCAATCTACTTCCGTAGTGTTACTGCCTCGGAAACGCAAGGGTCCGACTCGATGGCATGTAACAACAACAACAACATAGTTGCCAAAAAAATTGACAATCCCTTCACCTGTGTTGCCAATCGTTTTCAGCATGAAATGATTAAAAGATTATTTTTCTACTTCTGCAGATTAGTCACACCCTTTATTCTTTTCTTCTTTCCACTTGTGCTCCCTTCTCTCACTTAGTACTGATTGCAGTTAAAGTGAAACTTAAGACTGCAAAGGTGAAATAGAAATGTTTTTCTAGTTACTTTGCATTGCTTAAAAATGAAAGGTTTGCATGTTGGAGGGGAAGAAGGTAAAAGAAGATACGCTTTTGGAATGGTTTGAAGAGTTCTTTGCTCAATGTTCGTCATGTCTCCTTGAATCACGGAAATTGGGAGAATTAGTACCTGTAAAAAGGCTGGTATCTAAACACACAAATGGGGCATACAAGTGGGGCCTTAGTACTTCCTTCTTCTTCAATTTCAGTTTAGCGGGGGACAGACGAATTAACAAGTAACTAATAAACCCCGTTTCATAATTTTAAACTCCAAAAGAAATTCCGTAGAAAGATAGAAATGGAGGTATGTCAACAATCATGGGACTTGAGGGACGGGGTGTGGAACTATATAAAAAGCCCATTTACTGTCTCTATGTGCAGTTTCCCTGTTAATCTATATGCACATTTTTTTCTCTCTCTCTCTCTCTTTTTTTTCTTGAAATTGTATTTGGTCCAAGGTTATTTCTTGCCCATGCTCCTCCAATTCGAAGTCCATTACACATGGCGGCTTTTCAGGGTGGTTCTCTGTGTCTGGTTAGGTTTTTAACATTTTTCTGACGTTCTGTTGAAGCTGGTAAAGTCCTTGTAGATATCCTGGAGATGGGAAATTAGTTTGACCCAGTGTGCCTAATGAGGGCCTATACACGTGGACGTACATCGTACATGCATTTCCTGTCTTTACCCTTGCTCCCTTCCCAGCGCTCACATCTGGATGGCCTTTGGAATGACAGAGGTCTGAATACTGGGTGGTCTCAACAGAAAGTCACCTTTCCTTGCTCTACACTTGTGTACAGAGTTGGTACGCAATCACTTTCTGAGCAAAAAAAAAAAAAAAAGCCCGAGAACAAGCACCACTTTTTCCATGAAGCTGCAAGCTGCAGCCTCCTTGTGCTGTGCATATAAAGTACCAGTCCCACCCACCCCTTCTCTAGATCATGAACCGGCTTGGTCCCGGGGTTTCCTGAAACTCCCTAAAGCAAGGAGATGTCTTCTTCTCTTCTTGCTCTCTAAGACTTGGATGTCACTCCGATACGTTCCTTCAGTTGATAAGCCCTTATTGCACCCCTCCAATGGGAGTAGTCTGGGCAGAAAAGTCAGACAGCAGAATGAATGTATTTGGGAGAGACCAAAACAGCCCTTCACAAGTGAACATTTGCTTGTAAATGGATTTCAGCAGCCTGCACCGATCAATCGCTAAATGGTAAATATCACAGGGATAGTCTTTGAAATTGTACAGTTTGAATAATTTCCATGCGTGGTTGTAAGATTTATGATTGTATTACATGTATCAAACACATTAAGCATTTCTTCTTTTTATGTTTTTAAAAAGGAGATAATAAATGTTAAGTGTTGTTTTTCTCTCTAGGAAGGGTCTTAGGCTCGACTAACATACCACAGATGGATCCACATCTAAATTGTAATCAGCTAATCAAAGGTTTGACTTTGATGGATGGTATTTGGGGCCACATAATAACAAGTTACCACGTATTGAATCCCAGGCACTTATCTCTATCACCTAATCCTTTAACTCTCCCAGGTGAGCAGATGTTGTTGAGTCAAGCTCGCCCAAAATTTCACCCTTAACCAGATGCCGAGCCAGAATCCATCTTTCGATCCAAAGCCCTAGCTGAGAGACTACTAGACATGGTGACCTCCCAAACTCCTCTTTCTGTATGAGGCCTCTGTATTTTCCAGTCCCCTTGAAATGCGCAAATTGAAGTGCATTGTCCTCCTCCTGTGTGTACCCTTCCCCCCCAAAAAAGATTATGAACAGACTCTGCATTTGAGTACTAAAAAAAATAAATAAATAACTGTTCGAGGCTGCATTTTACTGTATTGAAGTCTGCCACACAATCCCTGAAAACTGGAAATAGGATGCTATGGTGATTTATGTAGATGGACCAAAGTAAGGAAAAGTATATGTAGTTATCTTTCCCAGGTTTATTCGTGTAATTGAATGAGGAACAAAAGTGTTTTGTTCTTTTTGCTGCAGAAGCTGATAGCAGGCAACTACACTTAGCTAAACTTCAAGAAATGGATGAGAAATGTGAATGCTTCATTCAGGTCCAAGTAAACGTAGGAAGAGGTATAGTGAGTGGTGTATAGAGTACCGAGTTAAATACGTTGTAAAAGTAATAGGGAAAGAAAAAGTAAGCTACTTTAGTTGGCCTGTGGATATGTCTTAAGCTGAAATGAAATACAGGTATCACAATAGGAGATCTAGCTCTGTAGAGGAAGGAGTAATGGAAAAGTGTCAGGAGCAGTGAAAGCAAATGAAAAGTGAGGCAACTTATTTATTAAACTAATGTCCAGTATCTCCTTGATAGAGTTGAATGACAATCAGTTGACAGAATCTCTTCTATATATTCCACTTTAAGCTGGTGAAGAAATCCTGATTTTTGATGATTGATTGCATAACAAGGTCATTTTATCGTAATAAGAGCACAACCAATTTGTGGATGCAAAAAAGAAACTCATTCTGGTGACATTTGGAACCAAATAATGTTCATATTGCTTTTTCCTTTGAAAATGAAGGTAACTGCTTCTCCGCTTGTGAGATAAACATTCTCCACCAGACTATGGAAATCCTTTGAAGTAAAGATGCCGAATAATTCAAAAGCAGAACATGCATTTTCTTTCTCTTTTTCCTTGACTTAACTACCCACATAAATTCTAAAGTCTCTCTTTGTATTTTATGTTTTTAGCCACGAGACCCAAACAACTTGCTGGGATCATCCCAAAATGACAGAGCTCTACCAGTCTTTAGGTAAGGACATGGACATGTTTCTTACAGGTTAAATGACTGACCGCTTTTAGAGTAAAGTTGCTTGTAATGTCCAAGCCATTTGTTGTCTAAATATATCACTAGCTTGTTTAAAGGGTAAAAGCTATGACACTTTTCTATCCAAAATTGACAATCAGCTTCCTTTTTATCAGAGGTTCTTTACAAATATCTTTTAAACTTTCTTTGATTCCTGAAAATTCAATATACCTGAGAGGGCTGAAAGATCTTTGTAGTTTTCTTTGCTGACTAAAAGGACAAAAAAACAAAAACAAACAAACAAAAAAAAAAAACCATGCAACTTAACCACAATAATTTTTCCCAAGAAAAAAGAAAACTGTTTCAAGTTGTTCTGATTGATTTCTTCTGTGTGAAACCAAGACAACATTTTTGCCATACCACAAATGTTGTGTAGAGGAATTTTCTGCAGTTTTTCCATTGCTCATAATTCCTAAGACCTATCAGGTCATCACTGTGAACATTTAAATGATGTCTCTGCTATGGCTGCTTTTCTGTTTGCTTGGGAGCTGGACAAGTTTTTTCCTCATAACTTGGAATAATTTTGAACAGGTGCACAGCCTACAGAGAAGGGGAAGCAACTAATATTTTAACATTTGATGAAAGTCTACTCTGCTGTTTTAGATCTGTCAGGAATAATATGAAATGAGTTCTCTTACATTGTGGCTGATTGATTTTCTTTTTTGTAAAAAGTTAGTCATGGTTTCTCTACTAGTAAATATTTCTACGTTTTCGTTTGTGTGAATAAACATACTTATAGACTAAAACACAATGATCTCCTTAGATTTAAAGTTATGTAACAAAAGACACGGGGATCAGGATGCTTAAACATAAATCCTCTACAGTGCCTAAGACATTTGACTGCTAACCAGAAGGTTGGTGGTTGGAACCCATCAGCCATTCAGCAGAAGGAAGATGGGATGATCTACTTCTGAAAAGATTTACTGTAACAGAAACCCAGTGGGGGTCATTGTAAGTCAGAATCGACTCGGTGGCAGTGAGTTTATACACATGTTGGGTGTGTTTGTGTGTCTATTGACAACCGAATTAATGAACTACAGCTATAGAGACACTAAAGGATGAGGTAGGAATTATTAATGATAAAAATGGTTTTAGTCTATTTTTTTCTAATAGAAAATAAGTTCCTTATAGAAAATCTGAAAAATAAAAAAATAGAAAAAGAATAAAAATTACCTATAATAATTGTACTCTCCAGAGACAGCCAATACATTTCATATATTCTTATGCCATTTCAGTCTATCAGTGTACATATACACACACATAAACATACTTTTTAAATTTTAAATAAAATTGGGATCAGCTAATCTTCAAGTATTACACTTTCAGCCCTTACAGAATGTTTTTGGCTTCTAATGCTGGACTGTTTAGACCACCAAACCAAACCAAACCAAACCAAACTCACTGCCTTTGAGTCAGCGCCGACTCATAGTAACCCCTCCTTGGGTTTCTGAGGTGGTATCACTGTGGACATAGATCGCCCAATCTTCCGAGGAGTGGCTGGTGGGTTTGAACCGCCAGCATTCTGGTTAGCAGTCAAATGCCTTAGGCACTACACCACCAGAGCTGCTAGTAGTCTAAAAATAAAACATTTTGGGGTGAGACACGGCAGGTAACAGAAACGTGTTGAATAGGCTGGTTTGTGGATTTTGATGAATTAGAGAATGAAGATTTGATATGAATTGGGCAATGGCTGTGCGGGATGATCTAGTCACCCTAGTTCAGCATTCTCAGAGCCTACAATTTTTCAAGAGACACTGGAAATCTATCATCAAAGAGCTAATTGAAACTTGTTCATGGTCTTCCACGTTACACATGCTTAGCCACTCATGACTTTTCACACTCTAATCACAGTGATCTTTAGTTTTAATATTTTAATGTACTCTTAATTCATTTTAA